CCCGAAGTAAGCGCCCGCCACGATAATGACATCGTGGGCCTCGAGGATGGGGTAAAGCGTCTCCATGACCGGGGCCTCCGCGTAGACTTTGAACTCGCCCGGTTCCTGCAGCTCCGGGAGGGGGGGGATCTTCCGCAGGTACTCGTACGTCGCCCGCTGCTCGTCGGTCGTGCGAAAGGACGCCAGCAGCGCCTCGGGGTCCGGCTTTTCCACGGCGTGATTGGCTTTTTCAGCGACGTGATTGGCTTTTTCGGCGGCGTGATTGGCTTTTTCGGCGGCGTGATTAGCCTTCTCCGGGGTCGATCGCGTGGGGGTTTTAAGCTCGCTGAGCGGGCGGCGCGTGTGGGTGGGCGGCGGCCTTGGGTGGCCTCGAGTGAGGGGCGTGAGGGGCTGCGGCTGGGCCCGCACATCCACCACCACCCCCGTCTTCACCTCCGAGGTTGTGAAGCGGGACGTACTGGTGTTGAGTTTGCTGCTCAGCCGGATCTTGTCAGGGGCCCCGCGGCCCTGATTTGCGCGGACAGGCGTATTCGGGACGACCATCACAAAGAATTCGGATTTTTGTTTGACCTAATTTTGAGTTCTTTATTGATACAATTGTAGTTTTCTGCCGTATGATATATATTTACTTTGCTATCCTCAACGTTGGTTTACCTAATGCTGATTAGTATCAGTGAGGGTAAGGATTCAAACGATGGGAGGGAATGCCTTGGGGGTCATAGAGAACGACAGTGTTGTTGAAAAGACCGGTGAAATTATAATAAAAGACAAGGAAAAAATGAGGAAGTTGGAATGCTCAAGAGCATCACAAAAGCCATATAAAAGTCAACAGCAAATGAACCTGTTGAATAAAGTGGAAAGTTTATTTGAGGCTGAAATTCAGAATAGAAGAAAAAAGAATCCAATAAGTTTATTAGATTGTTCAAGTACTGAGAGGGATAAAGATTGTATATGGGATTGCGGAGAGCTGCCGATGCCGTTTGGGGGTTAATAAATTTTTTTTCCTCGAAATATAACAAATCAGATCGAACAGCACAAATCATTCAAAAAGATAGTCCAGCATGATCGAACCCCATACACAAAAATACATCCACCTCAAAAATCAAATATAGATAGTGACATAGACTTCCCTACTCCCGCTCCGCATAGTCGCATATGCAGATTCACACCACCTTTGTGCATGGAATGTCTACTCATACGAGTATCGTCTCTTTGGATCTAGCACCTGAAGCTGGCCTCGGATAAATAAATTCGGATCCTGAAACCTTTCCGTCGCCTTTATTGGTTGCATGACCCGCTCACGCCAGCGCGGTTCCTCGAAATTGTCCAGCTCCACCTTGTAATTTGGGTTGCTCGCGACCAGCATAGATGCCTGCCCGCGCTCCTCGAGGGCCTGACGCATGGCTCGCGACCGCGCGACCTTCTGAATATCGGGCTCCACGTCCAGCCATTTATAACTCGGATGAATTCGCGATGTGCGAATCGTCATGACGCCTTTTGTGGTGGCATACAACGTGTAGGTGTTCGGATCCATCCGGACATTCCGTCCAGGGCGATACTCTGGCTGTCGAGAATACCGATCTTGGCCGAAGCGCCGACGCTGTTCCTTCAGCTTCTCGACAGGCGCCACAGGGGTTCCCGGAATAACGTGGAAGACTTTGAATTTTTTTCGAAATCTTCCCGCTTGATTCCTGGAATTGCCACCTGTTACCTTGCTTGCCAGGCAAGCACGTGTGAAACAAAACATTTCTACGGAATGTTAAACAACTAAAGAACTCCTAAATATTTAAATTTGCTTTCAGGTGGTAGCTTTAGGGCAATTCTTCGTGATTTGTAATCTAAAATTCTGCACTACATAAAGCAAAAAAAAGATAAATTTGCTACCTATCACAATGTTCCCTCTCCCTCCACTCCTATGCCTCCTTTGGATTAAATTCTTAATGATAAACGCTTATACAAAACGTACATCGATAGGGGAGGACATCCTTCAAGGATGAAGTATTTCCATTTTCGCAGAATCAGTAATTCAAAGAATACATTGTATTAATAAACTACTTTAATCTTCATTCACTTTATTTTGCCTATTTTTAACTATACTAATGATACGGATAACTTCAATTTTTTAATATTTATTCAATGGCATTTTTAAATTTTTGTTAACGCTCCACTTTACTTAGAAAACATTAAAGGTGTATACGAAGTATGTGCTCGAAGAAAGCACTTTATATTATTACTAAAAAAAAATTAAAGTATATAGCAATAAATTATCGAAAAATAAAAACCCAATAAGAATTTACTTGCTTTAAATGGAACATAGATGGAAGTGAAAACAAATCGATAAAATATCTTTGGTAAGAACTCAGAAACATTTGAGCACTTTGATTTACCCTGTTTATAATCACTTCATCCTAAGATTTTCAGATGGTTCATCGCATCTAGATTTGAAACCTACAAATTACATCATTATACCTTTAAGTCTGCGTAGCCTTGTAGAGAAATAATATACTTTCTCTACTTATAAACGAGTAAAACCTTCGTTCATGTACTCAGATTTACTAGGCCAACTTGAATCACCCAATTTTATGCATTTAATGACTCATTATGCCTGCGTCAGTTTGTATGGATCGAAAAAGTTAGCAATGAACACAAAAGCCTGAGACAAAGTGTAAGGTCTATACCCTATAGCTTTTATTAAAAATATGGACTAATGATTTACAGAGCTCACACTCTCCTTTCAGATTTTTCTTATGCAGCAAACCTTCCGATGATCGTTTCGATGCCATAAACATCCCAAGAAGATGTTTGTCAAATGGCATAGTGCGTTGGTCGTTTCAAAGAATGCGCATTTGTTGTCAAAAGAAATGTAACAAAGGTGTGAATATGGTAAGTAATTTTATTACCAACGGAATTATGGAAAGTTTCTCATCTGCTCTTCACATGCACGTCCTTCTATGCGGTGCTCTAAATAATATATGTTGATATCACAGGAGGAAAGATAAAAGAAGGGGGAAAAACTTCCAATATATAGATAAATATATATATATTTACTGAAGTCCCTCTTTTCTATCCCGAGCTCTATCTTTTGAGAATGAAAAACACTCAAAGGGCAAAGAGCAAGACCATCGCGAGCAATCAGAATAACTGAGGAATGGAAAATAATTATGGAAAAAAGGAGGGTGTTGAGGCACGTGAGCATGATGATATAGACCAACTTGACAAGTTCGAGTGCAATGCTCCCCAGCTGTTTAGATGTGGTCATGGAATTCTGAGAGCCTGTGACATCTTGGCTGAAGTCTTCGCCAGGATTTTCATTGAAGTTCTTTTCCTTGGAACCGTGTGTAAGGCTCTCCACCTTGAAGGTTTTTTAGTCGCTATCCTAAGATACGTGATGGTCTCAAAGTCTCCATTTGTTTCGAGTTATTGTATTCATATTCTTTGCATTCTGCGTATTTATATAATAACTCGGCATCTCACTGTGTACTTTCTGCTAGGTTGTACTTGCTAGCATACTTCTGCGCGTAGCTATACTAGCAGAGTTCGAGTAACATCACCAACCTCGCTATCATACAAAATAGGATGAGATTGATATAAATGTAAAACTTCTTCAGAACTCCTTCGTCTATGTTTGAAAGTTAAACTCTGACTATGCACTGCAGGATAAAGAAAGTAACACCGGAAAACCTGCAGCCGAACGTGACGACGATCTCGAACATCATGAACGCAATCGCCATGAAAAATCGGATGTTTAGAGAAATGGTGCGCGCAAAAGGAGGAAGCACAGCAGGGTCAACGATGATCGGTGTTATTTTAGATGTAACATTTTAGAAGGCAAATATGTTCCGCCCGAAGAATTGGTGATTCACTTCGGTATTTGTGTCTCCCGTGGCGTATTTGTAACAGTCAAATATGTAATGAAAGGTGAAGATCAGAACGTTAAATGACTTAAGAATGGAAATACGAAGCATAAAGCAAATAGCATATAGGTAAACCTCAGCGAGGGAGAGGAATTAAAGGAACAACAGCTGCTTCGCCTGACATTTCTCACACAAATAGATATTTGAGGGGTATAAGTAGGAGGCTTCTAGATGTTACTGTTTTATTATATGTTCGATATTTTCATTTTCTAAAGTAAAATAAGAGCTGAAAAGAAAACATACAAGGAAGAAAAGATTAATGTAAAGAAAAAAAATGTGAAATCAATTAGCCAGAGTAAAAATTATGGAATAAAAGAGTGAATTTAATCCTAGGTCAATAAACGATCTAAAGGTTTAAATTAAAATAATTGAAATAATCATGGTTTAATTTGTGAAGCACAGATCCCGGACGATTTTTCTGGCTCCCTTCCCGTTTACTTGCGAGCCTTACGAAGGACAGGACGTGGGGACGCCTTGCGCATCTCGGCCGCAAGGAGTTTTTCCTCGCGCTCCTGGATCACGTTCATGCGCAGACCCTGTTGCTTGGGCAGTGTCACGAGGATGTTGCTCAGGCTTTTGCCCACAACGAACACGCTCCTGGCGCGCGTCGCGAACTCGTTTCCGGCGGCATCCTTCAAACGGGCGATATCGAACGCACCGGGGTGGCGTTCGATGTTCACGATTTCGCCAACACGGCCGCGGTTGGCGCCGGCGGTGATCATCACAGCCTTGCCCGTCCCGCGCTTCACCAGGTCAACCGCTTTCTTCTCCTTGGTGTTGTAGACGATCGTATCACCGATCAACGTGTTCGGGTCCGGGTAGCGGATGCGGTGGCCGTCGTGGGTTACGGCGACAGGTATGCGGCCGCTGGCGGTGTACAGATTCACCACCTTCAGCAGCTTGATGTCCCCCTCGTTCTCGGACACGTTCACCATCACAAAGCGGCCCTTGACGTCGTACATCAGACGAAAGCGGTCGCCCGTCTTGGGGATCTCGACGACGTCCATGAAACCCGCCGGGTACTTGCCGTCGCAGCGGGGGTGGTGGTCCACATGCACGAGGCCCTGGCGAAGGATCATCTCGCCCTCGCGCGCGTTCAGCGCGTACTTCAGGCGGTTTCGGATGATCACCAGAAGAGGGAGGCACTCACGAAGCTTGTGGGGGCCAGGGCGCGGGCGGGGTGCGAACACGCCCGTCAGCTTGCTCAGCATCCAGTCGGACGGTGCATACAAACGTTTGAGGTGCTTCTTGGCCATTTTAGCGACAATATCTTCAAGGTTCCTATAACATTCAAATAAAGACAATAATAAGAAGAATTCATATTGTTAAATAATCAATGAAAATATATCCATTAAAAATGAGTATTTTTGTGTTTATATTCACATTAGTAAATTTAGAATTTGTTATGTCCATTGTAGTTGATCATTTGGTCGGTGTACTTTTTTGTAATCAATAAATTAAAAGGAACGCTAAAGAAGATACTATTTGCCCACATTAGATAATATTAATTATATAATAGTAAATGTTATCAACCAACAAATAGAAAGAAGTTTAGCTTGAAGAATATATTTAATTGAATTGATACCCGATAAGGCTAAACTCTTTTGAAAATTGTCGGAATACATCATAGTTACGTCATTCTATCCTTTTTTTAAAAAACTCTCAATTAGTTTCATTGATATCCTCAAAGATAAAAATACCGTATTCGCTATACAAATACAAATAATCCTGGAAAGTAAGAGGAGAACATACATGATAGTGTAATATAAATTAATTAACATAGTAACGCAGTTGCTTGGAATGCCAAGGGTAAACACTTTTAAAAAGGTCTAGAATTTGACTATGAAAATAGCTTTTCTTTCCCCACCTGCTTTGTCTGTCACAGGACTAAGATGTCAAAAGGAGTTTTTATGTAATAGGTAAGGCATAGAAAGATCTGGCACGCTACTTGCTTTTATTAAATCAAGCAAAAGAAGCTAAATCAAATATTCATGAAAAAAGAAACTGAGATTGAGGTTTCACTAACGAAATTATTTTTCTCTCTTTTTTTTTGATAATCATAAAAAAATGTGTTTCCACAAGCAAAAAAAACACGTATATATATTAAGTAACGTATAACAATTAAAGTACAGCTTAAATTAAATATGCATTTGAGTAAAACTGATCACTTTTTTCTACCTATTTATATTTTTATTATTCACTATAAGCATGACGTGTTGTCGTAAGAAGAGTAGGTGGATTTACAGATAGTGGGAGCTTATCATCATTTTTATGGGACAAAATTCGCAAATCCACCAACATCAGTTGTTCCACCGCCATGTTCGAAGTTGACACAATACCCGAGAAAGAAAAGACGTACTGATCAGTCTGCGTCACGCCGTCGTAGTGAAACAACGGCGGACAGCAGCGGCCCTTTACGATGTTGTAAAGGAAGCCTGTCGTCTCCATCTCCATAACATGCCCAAAAGGAATGATACCACATACCTTGCCCTCGTAATTCTGACAGTTAGTTCCATCTTGCTTCGGAGCTGTGTCGGAAACGGTACCGCTTTTTATTTCCTTGACCTTGTCGGTATTGTTCTTTGCGTCACCAAGGATGGCATCTGGGGCGCCTTCCACCCTGTCGGATTTATGCCCATCCAAGGAAGGGCGTAACCAGAGAGTTATATTATTGTAAGCGCAGGTGAACATTACATTCCACTTGTTTGTCAGAATCATATGAAATTCACTTTCAAAGTTGAAGAGCGAGCAAACAGTGGCAATCTCATGGTCATAGCGACCGCCGAGCGAGCCGAGGATAGCAACATTAGGCAAGATGCAGGTGTGTATAGGAAGGACATCATGAGTGCCCCCTCCCTCGTTATGACCAATGATGCTGTTCTTTTGAACTTCCTTAAGGAGGTTCGCGCATCGCATGTTTTCCAACCGCGTGGCCTCTGCATCGTTTGCACCTTCTGATATTACAAAAGACTCGCCTTTCTGTTCGTCGGGATTCGGCACCGTCTTGGCAAGGGATTCATAGGAATCAATTAAGCTCTGTATGGTGTCCCTATACCGTTGAATGATGGTCTGCGATATCGACTCAATGGGGACAGCGACATCGCGCTCCTCCTGCGTCAAAACTTCATGATCGTTATTGGCATCATCAAAAGAATCGATGAAGGGCTTCGGTGCTTGTTCATCCATCCACAACGGGACGTCATCGTCGTAGTACTCCGGAAAATCGCATGGGTAAAGACGTTTTAGACGGCGTAGAATAAGCATGGATTTCATGAAATCAGTCGACATTTGACATGTAATTGGAAAGAGATATGGTAAATTCGACTCCAGCGCGGGATATCCACCATCGTTACTGCCTCGCGCTAACGCCAAGGCGCGTATGCGAATCTTTTCAAGCGTCTTGCGCGGGATCAGCTTGATGTGTTCGTACCAGCCTCCTATAGGTAGGAAAGGAAACTGTGGCTTCTGAGTGGAGGGTAAGCCCACAGTTTGAGGGGAATCGTCGCAAGATTGGTCTTGGACTGTGTAGAGGTTTTTATAGTTTTTAAAGCGTTCGGAACTGTCCATATCCCCGATGATAATATCACAGAGCGGGAATGGTGGAAGAGGAACAACCGCACCCATCTTTTGATCGAATTCAGGAGCATCAGGGAGTAGCCCAAGTTCACAGAGCTCCTTATAGTGAGTGTTGTAATAGTGTAGGAGTACATCATAAGACCCATCGGCGCAGATAAAGTAGCAAACAGGACGATTCTGTGGCGGCGCCGAAGTATGGCTCTTCCCTCGGTAGAGCTTCAACAAACGAAAATATTCATTGCAAGACCACTCGACGCTATCCGGGCTATTCAGGAAAATAACCCCTGATAAGTGTTCCTGATCGGAGCTCACCTCCTTGTTTGAAAATAGGACTTCCGTCGAGCAGAGCCTTACATAATGCTTCCTGCAAGTCATTTTTCCTTTTAAATGTAAAAAGTAAAAATATATATATCACTTCTAAAGTAAATGAAATGGAATGAGGCATACAAAATGAATGCTTTAAAAGCTTAATTACATGTCAGAAACAATTTTTGATGCGAAGTACAGAACTTGAAATTTATAATGCTCACACAGATAGTGTATAATTTGGAAAGATATCGCATAGATTTATTCTATAATGACATCTAAACGTTATAGCAGAAAGTAAAAAAAATTCTGGAAATAATTTAATATACAAATATATATGTATATATATATATATAAAAACCATGCATCGGTAATGATTTTGAATCTTTTATAGACTTCAAATGTGAAGGAAACGTGTTTTAATTTAATGTTAACTAGATAAAAAAACAAGGAATAGCATTAAAATCTAAATCGAAAGTTAAGCAAGACTTCAGCAAGTTCCTTAGTTGTTTCTTTTTTGTTGTTAGAAACTTGAAAAGATATCAGAGCAGAATCAAAACATCCTTCGTTGATAGAAAAATATCATCGTTGACATATCTTTAAAAGCATCTCCTAAAAGAAATGTGACTCTGCCGCAGTTCGAAGAAGCCAGATGGCATGTAAGCCCTGGAGAGAATGCCGCATACAACTGAAAAAAACACGAACTACACCTGTGAATACTGATACTGGCGCGTACGGCACGAGCTGTCGTTTTTATTTTTTGACCTATCATCACCTTCACGAAGATAGGCTGACTGTACGAGATGTCCCTAATAATGCAGTTATTACTTCATACCAGCGCAGTTTATGATATGTGATAAGCAGTCTATACGAACCGTTTAACGAAGCGAAAGACAGTGTTACCGCAGCTACACAACACATAAGGAAAGGAAAAGGATGAAGTTCTGAACAAACCCAAAAATGAGAAAAAAGAGGCTTCTGTGGTGTGAGCTCGATCAGAATACCAATATCCCCGGTATCAAGTATTAAACGCATCACATATTTTGTTGTTTTTTCTGATGTCTTGAAGAAACTCACAATCTGAAGGATTATCTGCCCGTTTATCCGCACTTGGTAACTTAAATGGAAAATGAAAGGTTATAATTGCTGACTTCTGTGGGAAGCCTTAAAATATTACATGCTAGATTTTCCTCAGTCCATGTCTTCGGAAGAAATGCCCCATTCTTGAATCTTGACCGCTTCTTTTTTGCATTCTTAATCAAGCATCGTGTGTGTGTGTGTG